TCAAGACATTTATCTTTTTATTTAAAAAACTGTATTTGTTATTTGACTCATTTATTATGTTTTTATACGTCAGATAAAAAGGAGAAGAAAAAAAAGAAAAAGGAGAAGAAAGAGAAGAAAAAGGCACTAAAGGAAGAGAAACAGGCACGGACTAAGACGTCAATGTCTTCTCCTGTCAGAGTGAAGAAGGAGAAGGAGGACTCGACATATGAGAAGTATGCCACGAAAGGACCGGCAGGAAGCAGAAGGGACAGATCGGGACAAAACTTCAGGAATCCACAAGACACAGCAGATGAGGTGGACAGATTCAGAGATAGGTATGGAGGTGAGAGGGAAAGGGATAGAGAAGAAGACAAAAAGATAGACAAGAACAGAGAGGATAAACGACATGAAGACACACGACAGCGAGACAGGGAGGGAGACAGAGTAAGAGGTGTTGATAGAGAGAGAAATGGGGAAAGAGAACGAGACAGAGAGCGTGAGAGAGAAAGGGAACGTGATAGAGTCAGGGAACGAGAGAGACACCGGGAGAGAGACAGAGGAAATGACAGAGGGTTTGCCAAACACAGAGATCACAGTTGTGAAAGAGAACACAGGCGAAATTGAGCAGATAGTAATTGACTTTTTTTATTTTTTTTTGATACAAGATTGACTTTTTTTTGTGTGTACCTCAGAAATGTAAATAAATGTTTAGAATTTTTAAATATCTGTCTGGAATAATTAACTGTATACTGGCTATGTGACAATAAGTTACACACAATACACTCATTTGACAAATAAATTCAAACTTTATTTGAATTGAAATGGTACAAAGACCAAAAAACTTGTTTAACAGTATCAACTAAAAACTCCAAAATTAAGATGCAATCAAAGTACACCAATCATTATGGATTCAGTTGTAAAACTATTAAAAGACATTTAGTTAAGGGTGTTCAGAAAAAAAAAAAGATATCAGACCAAGCAGATGTGTACATTACCCATTTATAACTGCTCAACAGGAAACAGCATTTCATCGCTAATGTTGAATAATAATGATCGCTATAGCCACGACAACATATCTAATAACCTAGCAAGAGGAGATAAAACAATTACACAGATATACTCTGAATAAATAAACAGAATTCAAAAGTAATAAACACTAAGTTGAACATTAAGAGAACATGACTAGAAAGTATTGGTGGTGTGATTATTGGAAATTTGGTCTGTTGCTGTAAATTTATCTAGGCTGATAAAAAAAAATAGCAAAAGAAACTTCACACTATTCTTTTCATGTCCAAAATAAGCAAAACATTACACAGTTAGCACAGCTTTTAATGCAGTAAATGAAGTGAATCACCTTTAAAGCTGCAGTCCGTAAGTTTTGCCTCTTTGTCGCCATCTCTGTTTGAAAACCTGCAATTGCAGCTATTTGCAGAATTTTTTTCCTTGTGTGGGTTGTGCACTGGCACAGCTCCAGCGTGGGTGAATCTAATGTGTGGCTGTCAGTCACCGCACCGGTGTGGATACTGCACTTTGTATTCACAGATTCTACTTCTTGAAAGTATGACCCAAATAAGAGTTTTCACTAGAGAATGTCATCTGAACAAGTAACAACTGCCACTTTTGTTCTGATCAACTGAGGAAAAAAGCATTACAATAAATTGCACTATCAATGGTGATTAAATCTAACGATCGGTTTGCTCATATCACATCAAACCGTGCCAATTATTATTACTGTTATACTTTGTTTTCAAATTGTTGAAATTAATAACATAAGCATTGCGTGAGTGCTTGTTGTGGGATATTCTGTGTGCAGTTGGATGGTTGGAACTCAGCTGGCCTAATTCTTCGGTTAGAAAGAACTGCAGCTACTCCAGAGTGAACATGTCCAAACTCAATGTTTATTGGTTTGTGTGGATATGCACAAAAATGTGTGGTTTGGAGTTATTAACGCACAGCAATACCACACAAAGAAATACAGACTTTAAAGGAATAAACAAAGCCAGGGAAACTCAGTATTACTCTGCTATGCTGGATGCTGCCGAACTGAAAACTTTATGTGCATGATGCAGGGAATTTTGTACAGCCGTCCCACAAATTTACACAGGAAATTTGTAAGTCCACAAAATGTCCCAGCTTAGTGATGGCAGCACAAACTAATCTTCAGGCATTTCTGGTAGCACAATCAGTTTAGCCACAGGGCGGATGTATGTGCAACTGAGGAAAAAAGCATTACAATAAATTGCACTATCAATGGTGATTAAATCTAACGATCGGTTAGCTCATATCACACCAAACCAATGCCAGTTATTATTATTGTTATACTTTGTTTTCTAATTCAATCCGCCATTTATTCCAGCTGCTGTGAGAAAAGGCTATAAACGATCCGTCACCTGCAGCATCCTCACGTGCGATATAGCATACTAGCCGGACAACTTCTTTATGTTTACAGACGTAATGACGCAGCGCCATGCTCGAATTTTCCTCGAAAACCTACCTGTACCACTCTTTATTACAGGAAAACTTTATTACAAGCTTACCGTTGTGAATCGAGCTAAAGTAAGGTGATAGTTTTGAACACTGGCTGGTTATGTACTTGCTCAAATTGATTTTGGATAATTTTTAAACAAAAAAATTACGGACTGCAGCTTTAAGTTAATCTGTTATAACCTTAAGTTACTATGAGCTGTTCAATTCATGAACGGTCACCTATACGAACTATCCATAATTGGCCAATCAGGAGTACTGCAGATGTGACTCCATAAGTCTTGTTCTGTCACAGACACTAAACGTTTAAGCCAATACTCAAGGTTAAAGGTCAAATATCTGTTTGCACTAAACTTTAATAGTGTATGCTGTTGGGTCACCCCTGTGTGATGTCCCTCCTTGCAATGCTCACATGCGAGACCACATCAATCACCAACCCCGTTTTGAATAAGCTATTAAAAAATAGAGATAAAAAGATGTTTATGCTGGTTCTCAGTGGAACTCCATCTAAAAATGCAAACAGCTGCCATACAGTAGGTCATCGGGTCTTTGGATGTAGCCATCTTCTGTAGTCGTAAGCGGTCTTATTGACATTTTAGCCACTGTCACAGTATTTTCCATACTAAATCATGTCAATATTTGCCATGAGAATGATCATATCAATTCTTTCATTACTTTCTCAATGTAATAGTTAAAGGAACAGATCAAAAGCAAAACATTAGCTTTCTGCAGCAACACCAGTTGCAGTTGCAGTATTGGATATTGAAATGTTTGTGATTTCTGTGAGGTGGGTAGTGTATGCTCCAGGTTTTGTTTACAAAATTTAGTTTAAAGTCGGCATGTAATGAAAATTCATCCTGTCTATTTTCTAAATGCACGTTGTTGATGTTTTTGTGAACAATTAAAATTTTTTTTAAACTCACAATTAATCAATGTCATAATTCGATCTTCAGACAGATGAATTCAATCATTTAGTCTCCTTTTTTTTCCCTTTTTTTTACAATCGATTGAGACGGTGCATTAAAGTCTTTTCGGAAATATTGTATTTACGACTTGGAACGCACATGAACGCCATTTATGACTTAAACTCACATGAACGCCACCACAAGTCAAGTCGTAATTACAAGTGGAAAATTCAGAGGCCTCCTTTATAATATGTTCTGTAGAAACTGTCCTACTTTTGAACTAATATGTCAAATGTGCGTACGTGTGATTCAGAGAAAAGAACGTACGCACAAAAAAATGTGTATGCCTCTCTTCCAAATGTGAAATCTATAAATAAGAAATGATCTTGAAATTGTGCTCAGTTTCAGATCTCCGCCTTGTAAACGCCCCCTTATTAATGTCATTAGCATTTAAAGGGGTCCTATTATGCTTTTTCACTTTTTCAACTTTAGTTAGTCTGTAGTGTTGCTGTTTGAGCATAAAAAAGATCTGCAAAGTTCAAAGTCCACTTCAAAAGGAGATATTTTATTTAACAGAAATCACTTTTCAAAAACTACAACGAACAGGAACTATTCGAGCCGTTCATGCCAAACTGGGGAGAGAGGTGTTGTAATAATGTAAAATATGTGAAAAACAATGTGTTTTTCAAACAACCTAGTATGAGAGCATGTTCTAGTACACCCCCAAAACAAAATCAAGACTTTGTAAAAGAGCATCAGCCAACATCTAAATCCTTTACTTGAGAATAGTGAGCAGCAAGAATTGCTTAGATTACCAAATAGCTGTAGTACTCCAACTCTGTCACAAGGAAAAGTGCGTACGCCTGCTTAGAACCTGACATGGTGTGAAGCATGTACAAAAAATACGATAGTATTGTACAATCATGATGGAGTATATAACAATTAACAGCACCTTCATGAATTAAATAAGAACATTAAAAAGCAAAGATACACATTCTTTATTCTTAATTTTGAAGTAGAAAATCTTGCTTAATTATTTTGTAGAAAAGTTACATCGCCATCTTGCTCCGACCAAATGATTTGAATGCACCCAACATCATAATTACAACTTCCCAACTGGTAAATATGAACTTCCCAGTAGCACTTGAATGCACCACAAGCTCACATTCAGCAGATCTGCCTACATTTAATCAACAGCCAATGGGTTGAACCGCCCTACATTTTATTCTATTTTGATAATCCGTTTGACTCAGGTGTACATCACAAAACGGAAGAAAAGATGTCACTATTTATGTTTCATTGTGACTTTAACCTTCTATTTAAAATACTTTTTCTTCGAATAATGCATTTGAAATAATTATGGTTAGGGTTTTTCATATTGCTAGACCTGTAAACTCACATGTGCTAGTATTTGTATCACTGGGTTGGCACAGGAAACATCTCATCATTTCATTACCATGAACGTTAAGTATTCTAGTCCTTGACGAAGACTTGTTTATTCGCAAGTTCATTAGGATGTGGTGCTCAATATTGATCGTGATGGCTTGATTGTGAGGCATGGCACACAGCTCAGGAAACCACCTGCTCACTTCATTAAAATGTATTTATTCAGTTTTGTGTAATTTCTGTATAGGGGAGTCTAAAATGCCGTGGGAGAGAGACAGATGGCTGGTGGTCTCTTTTGACATGGTATGTCTTGTCTCTGTCTTGGAGATACAAAAATCTGCAACAAACTACAACTGGTGGATGGTCCTATCAGAATTAAGACATCAGAATATATCAGTGTATTATTTGGCAATCGAAACCGATTAGGCTAAATGTGCAAATTGAACATGGTTAGTTTTTATGTGACTAAATTGTTATTCTTTATTGCACAAGCTTTGCGTTGTCAGCCCAATGCCGTAGGAGTCATGCCACATAGACCTGGAAGCTTAGAGCTTCCTTCAGGGCTTGTGATCTACATGCAGGTACTCTGTCCTGTTCAACATGCATTTGATATTTTTATCCAGAACTTAAAATGATAGAGGTTCTACAGTCACCATCCATTTGGTTCAACTGCATAATTTTATTTTTAGAGGATTGATCCATGTCCTGTAAATACCATAAGAGATTCACTCATTTTGAAGGCATCTAGAAAAAAAGTGTCAAAAAGGGATTTCAGACTAATCAAGAAAATGTTTAAAAATATACAAGAATTTTCTTCTAGGAATGAATGAACTAGATTTCTCATTTGCATATTTAGTTGCCATGACAACTGCATGTAGAGAGAACAAGCATCGGGGACAGGAGTCTGTCCACATGTTTGAGGAGTGGAGACACTGACCACATGAGCACTCTTTCACCTTTTCCTATGGGTCTCTAAATGTAAAAATTAATCAACGAAACAGAATGCATTTGCTCCACATTTATAAAACATTTAATTTACATTTTTTTATTATTTTTCAGAAGGAGTGAAATAGCAGACGGATAAAGAAGAGCTGAGGGTGTCAGTTGTGCATCAAACTTGAGATCTCTTCACAGAACCACCCACATTCAGGGATATCGATGCGCTTCTTGCACAGACATCTTCAAAGTCATCAGAGGTATTTGAAAAGAGGCTGGGTTCCGTACTTGAACAGTGTAAGTGAAACGGTTACTGCAGCAGGTTTTGGGGGCAAGGTAGAATGACGTGCCATGTCCTTCCCACTCATAATGCCACTTTGTAAAATTTAAGTCTCTTTCAAGACACTGGAGGATTGGAGGATAGTGACCTGAACTTGACACGGAGTCCTAGAAAAGGCGGCAGACTCTAAAAGACTGAGTTTGTTTACAAGTAAGGCATTGTGGGTTCATTGACCAAAGAGGAGAGTGAGAGATTGCTCAGATCTTACTGGGTTTAAAAGAACTAGAGTAAACTAAGCTAGACTAAACAATCTTGAAGAGACGTAACAGCAACAACAAATATCAACAAAACTAAAATTGTTTATATTTTTACAAAAGCTTTTCTTAACCTTAAAGATAACCTCAAACATAAAGAAACAAAAAGTACAAAGACAACAAAACCAATTAAATGCGGACACTTTATCAACAAGAAAATAACACTGTTTGTGCGCAGGCTAAATCTTTTACATACAGTCACTGTTGACAAGTACACTAAAAAGCAAAGGAGGAACACCTATATAAAATAAATAGTTCACTCAAAAATTAAAATTCTATCATCATTTCCTCACCCTTGTGTTATCGACACCTGTAAAGGAGTCATCTAGCAAAATGTGTGAGCTGTTCTTTTTCATACAATTAAAGATTTTCAGTAAAAAAAAAAAAATTCAGTCTCTACTTTAAACAAAGCTATCATATGGCGTCAGAAGACTTGCAATACAGAACACAGGTTGTATGGTCTGCGTTTATGGTGCTTTTTTTGTAGCTTGACAAGCCCTAGTCCCATCCACGTACATTGTACTAAAGAGAACAGCTGAGATATTCTACTAAACTTCTCCGTTGGTGCTCCACAAATAAGTGTTATAAAACATGAGGGTAACTAAATAACAGATTTATCATTTATAGGTCAACTATCCCTTTAAAAAATAAATAAATCAAGAATCATATACAAATATATCTATGAATATGTGGCATTAGATCATGGGTAACAAAATTTGAAAAGGTTGGCTGTAGTTCTGTTATTTTATGGAGCTTATGATCAATATCTGTGTTTATCACAAACCAATTCTCTCCTCTGGATAAGTTTTGACAGAGGACCCCAAAATAACAAACTTTATTATTGTCCTTATTTACGTCTTGCAACATTGACGGCAAATATGGTTTTTTTTTTTTAAAAAAGAAAGGAAAAAATTTAATGAAGAGGTCAGATTCTTGCCTTACAAACATGGTGGCTATGTAGTCATTTTTGCAAGTGTATTTTATTTCCACCATGGGCATTGTTTTATCAAACCAATATACAACCATGAAATTCAGAGGATTACCATTTACATTGCCATGTACAATTTCCATGGTTTCACTCAATATCCAAAGACGAAAACCAAAGTAGTCAGTGCAGTTTTTGTACACATAGGTTTTATAAGCTTCTGAGGCAAATGTTACACCTTCATGCCTAGACTCTTCCTAAGTTAGCATTTTGATTCTGCGACGGTGGTCATCCACACCCGAACTTTTATCGAAGGTGTAATCAGAAAGTTGAGGTGTTTGTATCCTTGGGGTGGGCAAAAGAAATTCTCAATTGCACCAATGCCTTCAACTGATAGCTAACACCTGCACACTCCCCGCTTCATCTCGAGAAGGACTCTTGCCATCCGTCTAGCATACTAACCCACTAGTGAATCTGGAAAGTGTGCGCTATTTTAGCGTATGACTCTTGAACAGAAATATACACAAATGTATACATCTCCCAGCCGTTGCCTTCAGAACCTGCAGTCTGATAGGGAGCAGGGGTTGTCCTAGGTTTGGGTCACTGGAAAAAGCCTTACACTGCCACCTCAGCACATGGAGATGGTAACGTTGATACCCAGGTTGCCGTTGTCTGCAAACAGGTGGGCAATAGAGGTATCAAATACAAGACAGTCACTGTTCATGATGGCCGCTGCTACGCCATCATGGATCGAGCGTGGCGTGGCCTCCCATGTGAGCCGCCTACGGTTGCCGTTCAACTCGAGGCGGTAGGCAAAGTTCTCCGCTTGCTTTCGCGTGCCAATGAGCAGCACGATGGCAAAGAACTGCTGGTGTCCCTCGTATTTCTCCTGCTTCTCTAGAACAAGCATGAAGTGGTGCCCGAAACATGACTGCATCATGACCCAGTCCACAGCCCCCGGTAGATTAATATCCGTGGCCAGAAAGACAATGTCCTCGCCCTGTAAGGTGGTAATGGATTTGTGGGCATGCATGAGATGTGGCATGACGGCCTCCAGGGAGCCCTGCCATTTACAGGAAGCTCCGGGGCATGGGCAGGTGTACGGGCGGAACTCACAGACTTCTTCATGCTCTGGCTTCTCGCTGTGGTGGAGGGACAGCAGACATCCAGCTGAGGCATACTGCAGGAAAATAAAAATGAGACTTGCATGAGCCCTGGTACAAAAAACATTTGAAGAGATAGTTAATGACTGAAAGAGAGAGTGAAGAGAGTTCGGATCAAGAGTGCTCCGGTAAGTAATGGGACAACACTGGAAGTTACTGATGATGAAGGACAAAGACAGAGTAGCAGGAAAGGTGAGTGGGAGGCTGAGAAATGGTGAGGGAACAAAGGGGGGAAAAAAAGGAAAACTAGGATAAGGGGATTTCAGGAGGGCAGATCAAGGACACAGGCGACAGGGAATAATATATAGGTAAAGCAAAGAGGGAACTAGGCCATGTGTTGAGATATGTCAGTATAATTTGAAGTGAATCTATAATTTGCCTAGAGTAATCAGTCTGTTCGTGTGTGTACTTGCCATAAAAGCGAGGTTGCTGCTAATCATGTGTCAAGCTGTGACAACCCTCTCATTTTTTATGCACGCGTCCATGCAGTTTGGGAAAATGAGTGGGACGGATCGTATTGCTTCAAGATGAATAGCACAGCAAGGCTCTGTTAGATTATCTCAGGAAGGGAATATAAATGAAGGTCAAATATGAATGTTACCCCAATCTACTCACTTTGCTCGAAATGTGCACACTGCATGACTTTCTTTGCTCACTCTAAAACCAACATTTATCTCTCTGAATGGCCTACAGGATTAGACTTGCAACAACAAAAGGTGAAATCCCACAATAACCTGATAAATGCCCTTCCCAGGGAATTTCATCAGCTTAGCAGAGTTGCATTAAGGCATACAAGGCATTCAGCTCAAATTATGGGTAAAGGTTTAGAATTCAACTGAAAAATGTCAGATCATAGACAAAGAAAGTAAATCCCTGCATGAATGGGCTGGGGAAAAGGAGTGAACCTATTGGTTTTCTGACAAAAGGCAAGCTCAATTATGTCTAGACGGTAAAGAACTAAGACCAAATAAAAATATTTTTCAAACACACAAGCTAGGAAAATGAATTAGAGATTTTTTCCCATTTAAAATTATTGTATAAAGCATTATCTGATTCTTTATGAAGTTTCCAGAAAATCTATGTAAACCTAATTAATTAGTTAAATCATTGCACCACAGGACAATCCGTTTCAATCAGGTTAGAGCAAAGCTGGAGGTATGGGCGTTCAGCCCACTCAACGCCACCCCACCCCACAAGGGTGTGCTTCAATATCTGCCAAATTAATTATTAATCTGAGTGGTAAGTCACTGACTATCTAGCAAAAATCAATGAGTGACAGCTGTTATCCAGTGGTCCAGAAGGCCCCAGAGGCCTTAAAACACTGACATTTATTGTCAAAAGCTGTTAAGAAGCAGCTAGGGAGAAAGAATCATTATATCTCCTTCACATTACACTGGGTTTTCCAAACAGTCTTTCATTAGGACATGTCCAAATACCCTCAAATTCATTACACTAAGCCTTCCTCATTTCCTAGCATTTCTTTTAAGAATCAAACAATCTGACTTTTGGAGGTGTTGAAGGTTTATGCGTCCCATCTCTTCCCTCCCAATCAGACAGTTATCCTCTTATCCACCTTTTTAATGAGAGAATGACAGGATTTTGAGCAGTAATCCTAAGGCAGTACGGTGGAGATAAAGCCTCTGTCTGGAGCCTGTTGGCACTGAGGGTCTTGGCGTAGGAAGGAATCGTATCAAGTGTCTGTTTAGGGTACACTGTTGAGTGTGTGGTTTTATGCGCATGTGTTTATTCAGTCATTACTACACCTGATTCCAGCTGTGAACTTTTCAAAACAACCCTGTATATCATTTACCTTGCATTGATTAGCCCCTAGAGCAAACAAATTAACTGTGCGTTTCAACAACGCATTGGAACATTGAGTCAATGACAGCTGTACCAATATGCCCACAATTAAAAAATTTGCCCACAAATAATAAAATTCCAATAAAATGAGTGGAGGACCAACATACAAATACATCTGCCACTGGCTACAAATTAAATTCACTTTATTTAAAACTTCAAATCTATCACCGGCGTACATTGCTCCAGAGACCTGATGAAATAATAAGTGAAGTGCTCTCTTTCTAGTACACCCTTGACGCTGTGCCAAGCTAGCCCTGTGGAGATGCATAGACCCTGGGCTGGGAGCTTAGCTACTGAATTATTCACACATTTCCGCATTTAAGTTGCAAATTATATCTCGCCACTTTAGCCAAGAGGGGAAGTCATTGGATATGCTCATTTTGATGAATGACAATGAATTTGGACAGTCTACTAATTTGTTTCTTTGTGTGTTGAAATGGAAATGTGTTTTAAAATCAAATAATTAGGCTAACTCAAATAAACCAGAGCATGAGAAGGGCATGTAAGAATCACAGTCTTCAGACGTGTTTTGGTAGTTTTAATCTTACCCTAGGCTAAAATGGCAAACACGGCATCTGGGCCCGGATATTTCTCAATGCACAATAAAAGAATCATAGACCTTGAGAGAAAAAGTCCTTAAAAGTAGCTTGCTGCAATAAATTTTATTTTTGCATCTTTGTACTTTAAGGCCAAACAGACTTAATACTATTTACTCAAAGTATGCAAGCAATATGCTTAACTTAGTGGTTATAACAAGTTGCCAGATAAACACATTGTGCTACAAGTACTGTTCAGTTCAAGGGTACCTTTCCTTTTAACAAATGACTGATGCCTCTGCCAACAATGTTGACAGTTGGGAAGTGCTGGGTAGCCTCATTTCAAGAAACTGTTGATGTTTCCCATACACCTATTCAGAGCAATGAATGAGAGGCAGGCTTATCTCCTCCTCCATTAACAAGCAGGAGGACCTTGAGTTGCCATTACCAACGTGTCAGTTGAAAAGGATGGCGTCTCCACGCTCAGATCCCTAGAGAGATGGAACCCAGGACAGACGAGATTGGCATTGTTACAATCTCTTTTCCCTTCTCCCTCAAGGACAGGGTGAGTGCATATGAGAGAAAGTGCTCTTGAGACCAAGTGAGCCCACCAGCGTCTTGGTCCCCTCTTATATGACACCATGTCTGCACATGACCTCATCACTGCTGGGAAGCGGCTGGGCTCAGGTCATAATTAGAATCAACTCTGTGGGGGCCTTCAAATAGCCCAAACGAAAGGCCTGTGCATCAGGCACCGAGAAATCTGATTTCTCCTGATCAGTGGCAAGCTGTCGCACCCACTTCAACCGCTGCAATGGAAAGCTAGACTCTCGCTTTCCCACTCTGGAATCAATAGCAATTTAGTTAAAAGTTTCGAAGCTGAAATCAGCCCAGTGAAGGCCAGAGTAATTAGGTTAGAGGGGGGAGGGGAATTCTTGCTTGCCGTCTTCTCGCTCGGTTCTTCAATTACATTTAATGTTTTTACGTAGCAATTAGTGTAATGTGTCTGTATATACATAGTATAATCGACATTGATTTGAAAATCTCATGTTTTACAAATTTATACTCAAAACTCTGCCTTGAGAAAGTATTCTATTACAAATATGAGAGTATTCTTAAAAGCATGATTATATTCCTGTAAGCAGTGCAACAATATTCCCCATTGGTAGTGCAACTTCATTTCCTATTCCATAATGTTCAGATTTTCCTGAAATTGTATTACATTTTTTTTTGTTTCCTATACAGTAAGCTATACTGCCAGCTGACATGTATGGAAACAAGAAAAATTAGTGAGGGAAAAAAATCTAGTACCGTATTGGCCCGAATATAAGACGACCCTGATTATAAGACGACCCCCCTTTTTCCAGATGTACCTTTTTGAAAAAGGCTTTTTAAAAACCAAATCTTGTTTTTTCTCAGTAAAACACATTTTGTCTTCAATTATTTTCATATTGCATATTTTTCCTATGTTAATTTTTTTTTTGAAAGTATGGTAAAAACTGGTCAAATGTACCAACAATCACATTTAAAAAATATTCACTTTTTGATATACCATTAAAAAAAAACAAAAAAAGAGGTAGCCCATCTGAATTAGGACATTTAGGCTATCCATCTAATAGTAGCCTACCAAAATCTTATTAACAGTAGAAGTTAAATCTTACTGTAGTTTTCAAATCTGGGTACTGTCTTACGTTTTAAAATCACAAAGGGAGTTTGGTCCCATCAGGCTAACGTGACAGTCACGACTCATGCAGCTGTAAGGTTTTCTTTTTCTTTTGTTTTTACTCGCAATCTTTACAACACGCATTACATTACGTATTTCATGGCACACTCGTTTTATGCGTATTTGGCGCCACCTATTGTTGTGGGCGTATTATTGACATGTCAAAGTCTAGACCCTGAATATAAGACGACCGCGTTTTTTCATGATGTATTTCCAAGAAAAAAACATTGTCTTATATTCGGGTCAATACGGTATATTCCTACATCAAACAGCAAATGATTTCTTAAAAAAAAAAAAAAAGTGATATATTGAACATGGAACTATGATCTTCAGTACTCACCTTGCTTCCAGGAAGTGGTTTGGTATGACAAACCGGTCGATTTGTGCCTGTGACACAAACACCTCGTTGTCGTGGCCAACTGAGTAGGCACCGCAACTGGGACAAATCCCTCAGGAGTGGGAAACAGGAGGCCGGGCACAACATCACTTCAAATACAACCCTACAATAACTCTTCAGTCAAAATGTTTTGAGACTTGTCCTTGCCTTGTCGTACAAAATTAGACTAACCTAATTCTAGCTACAGTACCCAAAATCAAACCCAAAGTAATGCTCAACATGAACAAGGAAACTGTTTGGGTCTCTCTATTCACTTGTAGAGAAAGTCTTAAGAATCTTACTGTCCCGCAAAGAAATTTACTTCAGATTTGTGAGGAATGAACCTACTGACCTACTAAGAGTCAAGGAGGCAAACGGAACACTCCGTACTCTTTCACTCAAGCGAAAACACCGTTCCCACGAGTACATTTGAACAAGTGCAAGTGTGTACGGCAGCGCCGAGCAATTACACTGAATGCCTCCCCGTTTACCTCTGATTCTGACAAGGATGCTTTTGTGTCCTGAAGGACACAGCCGGGATAGACCACGTTTCACACCTACTGCCAAAACACAAGCCTCGCGGACCCGTTAAAGTGACGCAGCCTCCTCGTATGCTGGCAGACACATGCACGCAACAACAGTAAAACCAAACAAACAATCTATTGATTCAAAACATACACCATGAACTGCACTGTACCCTACAGGACAAGAAAGAGACCCACGCTGTGATTCACTAGCCGTACACAAACTGTCATTGTTGAAACGCCTAAATCCCAATTTAGATTCTGTTCTCATTCCATGCAGATGCAAAAAGATTCTTTTCTCTCAGTTCCCAATTTCTTCGAGAAAGCTGTCAGGATAAGACACAAAAACATCTACGAACCGCAGCATCCAGTTGAAATTGATCAGCCTAAATAAAAAGCTTTTAAACAGAGTCAGAGATCGCAGGTGAGATGTTGTAGGCCCAGGAAAGCATCAGCATCGTCCCAAATTGAGCAAGTTCCTACAAATACAGCTAGACAAGTGACTGGGATCCCTGCAAAACAATATTTTCTCCTTCCTTTCTTTCTCCCTCTCTCCTCTGTTGTTGCTGCGCTCTGGAGGGTGACAACTCAGCAGAGCTGGGAACGCGGAAAAACATTCTGGACTGCAGCACGCTTGCACACGACGGGAGGGGGTGGGGGAGGAGGAGGAGGTGTGTTTGTGTGTGTGTGCGCGTGTGTGTGTGTGTTTGGGGGGGGGGATTGGTGTTTGTGTGT